TGTTGTTGCCGAATGAGGCATTTGACCGGCATTTACAGGTGTTATAGGGCGACAATAGAGGATAAGATGAACATTTAAGACTTTGTTTACATTTCGTGTTTATTTACCATTAATTTTTTTTATTGAGACGTTCCAAGTGCCTGTGGGAAAACCTACATCTAAACGTCGTACATATACGGCATTTACACTTACAAAAACAAAACAACAAAAAACTATAACAACCCTCTTCGGCTGCGTTTCTCTTCCAGCTGTTTATCTGCGACAACCTCGTCGACGACTGGAGGATAGCGATGACGTGGCAGCGGCTGGGCCAGCTCGGTCTCGAAGTGCTAGTATGCTCCATCCATCCGATACCCGGATCGTACACGTTCACGTGGACGACAACGGTCCGGGTCCGGTCGGATCCGCTGGCGGACATCGAGTCGGCCGTCGAGGTGCCCGTCGACGTGCTGCTGTCGTTGCCAATGTTTCTCAGGCTGTATCTCATCTGTCGCGTGATGCTGCTGCACAGTAAACTGTTCACGGATGCGTCGTCGCGCAGCATCGGAGCGCTGAATAGGATCAACTTTAACACGAGATTCGTACTGAAGACGTTGATGACGATCTGCCCCGGCACGGTGCTACTCGTGTTCATGGTGTCGCTGTGGCTGATCGCGAGCTGGCTGCTACGCGCATGCGAGAGGTGAGTGTAATTATGGTAGTTACGTTGATGTAATCAGGAGCGTATAATGACAAAGCTGTATATTTGTCATTATACGCTCCTGATGTAATGGGTGTTGGTGGGGTGGGGGTTGTGTGTGTGTGTGGTGGGTGGGGTGGGCGTGGGGGTTGCGCGCGCGCGCGTTGTGTTGAAGGCCGAACAGTTGTGTGTGTGTGTGTGTGTGACCGTTGTGTGTGAGTTGTGTGCGATGGTTTTGTGTGTTTGTGTGTGGTGGCTGTGTGTGGTTGTGTGTGTGTGTGTGGTTATGTTTGTCTTGGTCGTCGTTATGTGTGGTGCGGCCAGGCGATGGTGTGTGGTGCGTAGTGCGCGGTGTGATGTGTGTTGTGTGTGTGGTGGTGTGTCTGCATTGTGAATGTGTGCGGCCCGATACTTTGTCAGCTGTGTGTACGGTAGGGTGTGGGTGGGTGTGTGCGTTAGTGGGCGAGACTATTGTGTGCGTGCGTGAGGGTTAGTACGGTATATTGTTGTGGCGCTGGTGATTGGGAACTGTCGGGCGGCTGTGAGGGTGTGTGGTTATAGGTAGCGACGCGTGTTGTGTTTGCGTGCGTAGTGACCGACGTGTGTTATATGTGTGCTGTTTGTACTGTACCTGATTGGCGCGAGATGCGCAACAGCGTGTGTTGCGCGAGAAATGACTGAATTCAGCGAACTAATATAACCGCACCATGATGCCCGCAATTTCATTCCAATTTTCTTTTTAAATCCCGATGAAGTAATTGTGGAGGAGAGAGAGAGATTCGCATGAGCGATGACGGGAAGAGAGAGCGGCACGAGAGACGTAGAGGAGAGTGAGAGGGAGGAGACGAGAGAGAGAGATGACGAGGAGATGAGAGGCGAGGAGAGAGAGAGGGGGGGAGGGCTCCTTGAACGTGTTCTGTACCTGAATTTCTTAATTGTCTTCATCTCTCGTCTGCTCGCTCGGGATTGGAGACGCTAAGGTCTATTCTCTCTCTCACATACTTCGCTAAGCGTTAGAGACCGCTGTCGTCACCCCCCGCGAGTACGTTACGAAAGTGATCTCACGATTGAGCAACGGTTTGATAAGGCGCTTTATGGTGCGCTCGTAAAAAAACCCATGTGCTGTTGAAGGCAGCGCAAGAGCCGGCACGCAAAAGTCGAGTTTTTAAACGAAGCGAATAAAATTAGCCCGAAAGCCACCGCAGTGCATCGACACCCGTATCCATGATAAAACTCGTTTTAGATTACCGGTGGGGATAGATCGAACTGTTGTTTTAGTCTTTATTTAGTCAGGAGGTATAATGACAATATATATTATTTGCATTATCGCTCTGATATTATGAAGCTGTCGCGCGCACTGTATGAAGCCTATTCACTGTCAAAAATTATTTTCAAACATTTCGTTACAATTTTAATTAATTTTAAAAATTTAAATAATTATTAAAATAAACTTACTTAATATATTGTTCGGAATTTAATTCAAAATTTTTAAGATCAATTGCAGTAATACAATATTTATTAATTGCAGATTAATTCACTTTCAAAATATTGCCTGATATACTAAATTCCTTCAATCATTGTAAGAAATTATTTTCTAACGTAAATTATATTTCAAACAAGCAAACATTTTATCTAGTTGCATTTTAAATTGAGGAACTTGGTTACATAAATCACAATGTTCAATCTTGCTTAATGACGCCTAACATGAAATTATAAGTTATTTATATATTTACAGAATAACGAATCAGTTCAGTTAAGTTTGAAATTAATTTTACTTTTAAATTAATCAACAGATGCGATCTACTGTTTGAGTTCAGTTATTAGGTACAGACACGACATATGGCTATAGCTTAATTCAATTATAGCAGCTTTGCAAAAACATATATAAAATGTTTACAATCAAGGAGTCTATTTTAACAATCAATTTATGAACTTCAGCAATCTATTTCGAAGATCTTCTATCACTTGATAACGTTTCAATTGCGGGCCCTCTGTGCGTTTCCGGTCAGTGTGCAAATGTTCAGGAACTTCGATCAATTATTAGGATTGATTAGTTAGTTCTGTGAACTGAGTTTAATTGGAATTTAAATATACTTGAACAATATAGTAATTTGTATTTTTCATTAATTATTTGAATGTTTTAAATTGTTTAAAATTGTGTATTTTGAATTGTTTGAGAATGTTTTTTGAAGGGATGGCTTTCCATAGCCGAATGGGTGAATGTTATTTATGATAGTAAAACGAGCGGGTTTTTCATGTGATCGAAGTTTCTATATGGGTTGTTAAGCCACTTCTCTTTAGCGACTGGATTTTAAATGACTTATAATCCATTCAGGACAGTGTTTGCCAACATTTGACGCGCCCCGCACCAGGGCACTTGGAGCGTTTCAAAAATATATGCGAATACAATACTATTTACTTACAAGAGTCTTATGGTATTCTCTACTCTGTATTTGCACTATTATTGCGACAAATTTCCTGTAAAAACAGTTAAATGCTCATCTGCAAACACATAGTACACGCTGGCGTCCGGCCCGCTAGCGGCCTGCAATGCACATAATAATATTAATAATGTATATCTAGATATATGTATGTGTAGACCCCGCTGACGGCGACGACACCAAACAACGCACACACGCAAAAATAACACGCGCGCGCAACACACGCACGCGCACGTCACGCAGCAGCAAGCAAAAATGCAAAGCACACACAGAACAAAACCATTCGCAGGCAGTAAGGCAGAACAGCCGGAAACAAGTCTGTTTAAATTGGCGAAAGACAAGGCGTTAAATAGTTCATATTATATCGATTTAGACAAAATTAGTTTCGGTCTAGCAGAACAAAATCAATATGCTTAATCATCTTGTATACTAGGTTGTGTCGATGTTTATTAATTTTAGATTAATCCATATTTCTTTCAAAGCAAATTCATCTGTTGGTTTATTGCCTTTAAGTGACAGCATAATATGCAATATTTTACCTGTCAAGGTTACATATTAGACTACAGATAAACCAAATTAAATAAATTCATCTAAAACTTGAGGATGGGCTTCAAATTGGGCTATAATTAACCGCGGCATGGGACAATCCACTCTCGAACTTTAACGGTTTATGTGGGGCATTCAAACTTCGTATATATATATATATATATATATATATATATAACAATTTCTGATATCTTATTATGCAAACTCAGGTTCGTCGCTGAGCTAATTATATTTATAATCGTCATAGATCGATCAGGTTATCACGGGCATTGTCAGATTACAATCATAGATCCATTTAACTGCCAGATACTATTGGGTCGTATATTAAATGTCCAATTTAAAACAAGCATAAAAATCACTGGCTAAAACTACGCAGTTACTTGTCGCGTTGTTTTTTCTAAGTAACGACGCTTTTTCACCGAAACTATTATATCGGTTAAGACAAAATCCCGTTGATGGGTTCCTAAGCGTTAATTCCCTGGAATTAAAAATGGAATGAGTTTATGAGGATATAACTATATCTGTCAGTCGAATGTTAAAACACACTGCAATTATATAGTAAGAACACACGCACAAGTGCACGCACACACGCACGCGCGCACGCACGCGCGCACGTACGCACGCACACACATACACACACACGCACGCACGCACGCGCTAACACACGCACACGCACACACGCTCATACACGCACTCACACGCACAAAAACGCGCGCACACACGCACACACACGCGCGGACACACACGCGCGCGCACACATACACACACACACACACACACA